GTTTTATTGCCCTGGGATTTGCTTTAGAGAAGTGATGGGAAAGGCTAATGAATTTGCCCTAGCTAATGAGGCAGATGGCATCAAGGACTAGTCTGTGTGGATGGACCTGAAAAGGAGAGATGGTGTAAACTTCATAGGAGAGGAAAAGGTTTGGAAGTGGGGTCTGGCAGAAGTAGGAGAAGACATAGGTACCTCCAGTGCCATGTGAGTAACATGCCCTCTCTCCTGCCCTCCCTTTATAAATGCTAAGGGCAACAAGGAATAAAATGCCAGATTCTTTTCGTACACACCTTATAAGCACACTAAACTCCGCCTACCCACACCCCTATAAAATGTTGCATGCTAGCGTAGAGAGCTGCCAGTTACATCCTCCCTTCTGACCGTGAGCAAACTCCCCGAGGCATCGGAAGGAGCGCTGGGGTTGCTCTAGTTTTACTTTAAAAGCATTCCTTTTAGGAAAGTAAGTTTTACACTTCACCAAGCAATTGCCAGCTAGTGAAGTTCTTTGCTTCCTTCTTGTCTTCCTGTTACGTCACTTCTTTCCTTCTAGCTTTTGAGGAACTTCTCAAATACAGGCTTCTGAGTTTTGGATTTGCCTCTCGGAGGCTAGCGTATGCTTCACGTCACAACATCGGGCAGGTTTTTTTGAGGCTTTTCTGTCTGTCACATGAGGTCGAAAAGGTGCTCAGAGAGTCTAGCAAGATGTATAACTTTTTCCTGTCTGCATCAAGAAACTGTTTCATAACGGTTCCCCCAGAGCACAGCAACAGCAGGAGCCCGAGCATCGCAGCATCTGCACGCCAGGCTCTTTCTGTGCCTGCTCATGCTTCACATGCCTCAAGAGTCAGAAGCCTTCTGAGGAGGGGAGGCTCCCACAGTAGATAGTATTTATTCCTGAAGAATCATTATACAATTCCTATCTGAACACCTCTGACTTCCGCATTACAGAAGTCACTGCAGCAAGAGGTTATAATAGATGTCTTCTCGTGCCCCTTTTTTTTAATGCTGCAGTTTTTTTCACCTGCCTCTGGACTTTGAACTGAACAAAAGATATTGCTGTGTTGTGATTGTGTGCACAAGGATCCTAAGGATCCACAGGGGCTGTGTTGCTCTTTACGGCAGAATCTGACTATTGAGCGCAATCGTTGACTTAACTTTTGTGTCAGCTAGGAATACCAGAAACACCAGCACTGCTAGGTGTGCGTCCTAAGAAACAACGTTAAACCAGCAAGATACTGCATTTTTCTTTTCCTTTTCACCTTTTGTCTGACACATTTCTGTTTAGAAAAGCCACATGGAGTATCATGATAACATTCTCTTTGTTCCTGACTTATGATGATGATGCTATTGCTCATTAAGGCAGGAACTGGTATTTTCACAAAAAATGGACTTCCTCTGCTTCATCTCCAACCAAGTGAAGCATGTTAAATGAAAGCATGAGAACACCACCAAAAAGGACACACCAAGCCATAAATGCTCTTTAAATGGTGGCATAGTTCAAATTCAACACATTTACGTTTCATCTTCTCTCTAGCTTTGAGAACAGTGACTGCAGACCCAGATGAAAATGGTTGGGTAATTCTCTGAAATCCAGCAGAGTCGAAATCTTGGTTTTATTTGACACAGCAGGTGATGTCTGGTGTTGTGCAAGTTCTTGCCATGCGAAATGTGAAATACTTCCCAGGTCAAATGATGGGAAAGTATCCCATAATGTGCACAGCAACTGAAAACGGGTTCTAGTAACCGTTGTGAAATAGTCATTAGCACTTTTAAATAATAACTAGTATGGAGATATACATATCGAGGTAAATAAAATTATACAAAATTGCTTTACAAACTACCCTCGCCAGTGATTATTTCCCTAGATCCTGAGTCTTTGGGACTCCCACCTCTTCAGCACCGCTGAAAAATCTCATGTTTTGATGTCTCAAACATGCAGTGCAGAACCCGATTTTAGGCATCCACTGGGAAGGCCTTTGGGTTTCTGGAGCAGGCCTGAATTCCCCCAAATCAGCTGGTGCTTTTGAAAATTAACTTTTGAAAAATCAAAGTTCTCTGCTTCATGTTAACGGAGTCTGTGTCAAGATCCTGGTCTCCTCGCTTCTGGCTGATAGAGAGCAGCTTCAGGAGTACCTTACACCACGCTCCTCACGTCTCAGTGATAAAAGATGAGTGAACAATGAGAAAAATCCTCTCGAGCACCAAACAAAAGAAGGAAAAAAAACCATGAATTGAAAAAAATGTGGCAGTGGGAAGTGTGTGTGTGTGTGTGTGTGCAGGCATCCCATATGATACATATTTTGTGTATACACTACATGTTCATTTCATTTTTACCAGACTGTATTCTATGCGCATAGAGGTGGGACACAGCAAAAGCAGGCAACTCTTGCCCACTTCCAGTAAAGAGCACTGCCATCTCTCTGTTTAGACTTATAATACTGCCTGAAGAAAAATAATAAGCGAGCCAGGGGTTTGGATTAATCTGATCTTCAGATTTTTCTTCACGCTGTAATAACCTGAAATCGTTAAGCAGTTCCAGAAGGTCACTGAACATCAGGCTCTGAATTTCACTTATCGCTAATAAGAGGAACTGGCAGAGGGTGCAAGGAGACCTGTCACCATTACAGCCTGTGCTGGTCGGTATTGCCTTGGCTTTAATTAGTCTTTAGAGGAGGAAGCAGTTTGTTGACAGGCCCTTAATGAACTGACTCATAAAAATATTTTATTAATCCCAGTGCAGGTCACTGCTATTAGGTATTAACAGAACTGCTGTACCATAGTAAAAGGAAGCAAGGCTGCTGATGGTACCTCAAGGTAATAAGCAGGCACGCTTCATGACTTTTCTGAATAAAACCCATTTTAATCATTTTGGCTTGCCCAAAGCTGCCTACCCGCCACTAAAGCAGGGCATTTTAAGCCTAATGAATAATTTTGCTGTTGCAGCTTCAGCCTGCTCATTGAATTTTGGACCTTGGTAGCAGGCAGTGCCTTTCTGGAGAGAAATACACTGGCAAAAACAGAAGATACATCAGTATCTTGAACACAGAGACTTGTCCTTCAGGGATGCTGATGCTGAACAGTGAGCATTTAAACGCCTGGAGATGCCACAGCTGAGGCTGAGGCTTGCAACCTTTTTTGCCCCCAGCAAGGCTTTGCGACAGGACCACAGGACTGTGTCATAGGTCCCCATAGTCCCGTCAGGAGTGTGAAACAGCTTCAGTTCAGGGCTACTCAGCCTATAACCAGCTTCAGGGCACCTTCTCGTAATTCACGCCCAGCAACCTACCAAGAGCTGTGGAAAAAGCAGATGCTTCTCGGCCAGCATCTTTTGCATTAAGCCTGCCGGAAGGCTTAATACAATTTTAAGGCCTTCACGTTGCGGCTCTGGGCTGGTTTAACTAAATTTGACTAAGCTAAATTCCTTTTTTTTTTCTCTACAAGAGTTAAAGGGAGTCAATGTCGTTGCAGTCACTGCTCAGGAAATACTGAGCAGCTTAACAGGTGTCGGCCAAACTTTCCGCGCATCTAGCTCCACCTTTGCTCATCAGTCTCTTCCGACCTGGAAGCCTCTAACTGTTTAATTTAGGGGTTTTGAGGGGGGGGGAGGGGAGCGAAGCGTTGGAAGAGGTCTTTAAGGCGACGCATGTATTTTGAGTTGTACAGGTCTGATCCAACCCGATTCTGGAAGTGTTCCTAAAAAAATCAAGCCGTCCAGACAGTCTAACGCCACCGATAGCCCAGTCACTTACTCTCCGTTATTAAATACACCCTTGTGACCGGTTTCTCACGCTCGTGTTATCTGACAGGCTGCTGCTCCCGCTCAGCTGGGGCTGGGAGCTACAGGCCGGCTTGAAACTTCGCGTTCAGTGAGGGCTCTCATAAAGGCTTCAGCGAGGCCGCTGTCTCAGTTCCCCTCCCCGAAATCGCACCAGGTGCAACCAGGCTCTTCCTCCCCTCTCCCCAGGGGAAGCCCCGCTCCCCGGCAGCGGCGGCGCCGCCCCCCCCCCCCGCC